CCTTTGGTCTAAGCTTATTTGTATGCTTGTCTTTTTGTATAATTTTAGTAACACATTGGTTCACGATCCGGTAATTAAAGGAAATCTTGCCACTCGTCCCATTTCGAGGTCTTCAAAAAAGCATCTCTCTTCATTGTCATTTTCTAAAGGAATATTAGAAGCTAGTGAGGAGGATGAAGATAATCAAGTCGAAGAAAATGTGCGACTTTCTTCACTTTCTAGTGTCATGGAGGCCACTGGAAATGGATCTAATGTCGATGCAACACATTTTATCGTAAACGATGGAATTGTCAATAATTTTACATTATCGGTAACTAATAATCATATTGTTATTTAATTTTAAAATCACTTGTATTAGGCACTATCTTTTGTAAATTTATTTAATGGACATCCAATAAATTAACATTCATTCACATGTTATTGGTAAATCCGCCCTTTTTATCTAAACCGTTTAGCATTACTTTGGTAAAGCAATATTTTATTTTATACTTTCTCAAAACGACAATTATATTACTTGGCAAATTTTAGCCAATACTGTATTTAAACAGGACCGATTAAATGCTTTTGAATCATTTTTGACCCTCGTGCATCCTTTCAAGGATCACTATAATTAAGGGAATTGTTTATTTTTATTCAGTGCAAATATGCCTGGCTCTGAATACTCCAAAGTTCGCTCTTAATCTGTGTAAAATTTAGATACGCGTTTGTTTCTACTATTTGAATTATTTTTTTATTTTTTTAATATATTTTGTTCCTTTAGCTTATGCTTTAATAAGACACTGTAGAAACCTCTATCTTCTTCACTCTTCAGCATATACCTACCTACTCCAATCAAAGCTCTCACTCTCAGATTATCCAGATGCCTTCTGCTTCCATTAGTCCTGAATCTGGGAATATTGTCCAAGATACCGAATCTGATTCTTTGATAGTAACTGAAAAGCCATCAACGACTGTCAGTGACTTTGCCCCACTGCATGATGATATCGATATTTCTGTCAACTCCGGCTTCCTTCAACCACTTAAGTCTAATCCACTTTCCTCTGAGCTGACGATACCTGCTGCTATATCTACTGCTCCTATTCAGTCTACCTCTCAACTTTCTTCATCCCTCAGCATGCAACGTCAGCTTGAGTACACTTGGCGCATTGATCTCAGCCGGACACAACCATTCTGGCAGGACTGGTTCTCGGGATTATCTCGCCTCTTTCTTTCCGTTCCTGAGCCAAAACTCTTGCTATTAGCTGGAGTGGATCGTTTAGACAAGGATTTAACGATTGGGCAAATGCAGGGTAACCTTCTGTTTTTTGTGTATCTTTATTCATTTTTTCCTGTCATTGTTTACAACCTTTTATACCTAGATTATTTGACACATCTTATGGATATTTCATTCGGGAATCAGCATGAAAATTGAGGATATAGTAGGACTTGAATTATGGACAATTTTTTAAGTGTTTCATATCTGTGACCTCTTTGATTGCATCATCCCAAGTTATCAGATGATAAATGAACTTTATTTTTTGATTGATTTCCACTTCGTTTTTAAGTGCATGATTAAGAGCTTTTTATTTTTATTTCACTAGAAGATGGCGTCGATTTTACCATGATTTCTTGTTGACGTTCAGACTGGCTTTTGATTCTTGTTTTGATTAAGGTTCAAAGGTAATTAAGCTCATTTCTGCAGTGACTTGCGAAATCTTGTTTTTTTACTTGATTTGAGTTTAAAGTCACGAAAATGAGTTCCACCTTATATGATGTTTTTGATATGACACGTAAGTTAGGCATATTATAATCTGAACCTAAAGAGTCTTTGTCAGCCTAAATCTAATAATAAACTTAGACAGCAATAGATCAAAAGAAATACGGTTTATTCCTGGTTGTCCCGACCTGTTAATTTCTTCGTCACTCATTTTTTCACAATAAGATTCATAGAAAATAAATTTCAATATTATTCTGCTGCTTTTTAACTTGTTCGCAATCCACACTATTAGATGACATTTTAGCTTTTAAGTCTGTGGTAACATACTCTGCAAAACCAGTCGGGTATTTCTCTATTTTCTATTAAATCTAATTATTCATGCTGCTAGTTTCTTCATTCAGCACTATTGTATCATATACCTTACCCTTGTGCTGTGGAGGGACCGCCTAAGATTGCATTCTTGTAATACCACAATATGGAAATAACTCTCTCCTCTATATCCACCTTATCCGAAGCTTGCAACATGCGAACTTTGTTTGAACTCAAAGTCTTCACAGAATATATGTAAATCTAATAGTTTTCTGTGATCATAACTAACAAAGTATTGTTTTACTAGGGTGAAGCGATACCATTCACGTATTTGAAAAACTGGAGGACAGGCTAAACTACCTTAAACCAAAGTGTTTATGGCTCGCAAAGGAAAAAGAAAACGCGCGTAGGGTGCCAGAAATTTCTCGTTAGCTTGAATGGCTTGTTATACAATCATAAATTACAGTAAAATTCTAAGTACTCAAGTAACCTTAATAAATAGCAATTTATTATTTGTTTGTTTCTCGCGCTATGTAGATATTCTAGGCCTACTATAAGTTTGATTTAATAAACTGTAATAG